TATATATATATATATTCAATGAAAATCTGCTGCTGAGCTGCAGATTTGTTTTTCACCCTAAGGGGTTAATTTTTTCTTAACCTCCTCATGAGAGCGATATTCAAGGTATGTCGCTGTCACTAAGTGTGACACTTGGTGACATTGCATGCCAGGTAACCACTATTGGCTTTTAGAAAAAAACATTTAAATGTTGGCAAAGTAGAGAAACATTTCTGAAATCCTAGGGATGTGAGTTGTTTCCAAATAAAGGACAAATCAGTTATTAACGAACAAACTGAAAAAAGTTTAGTCATGAAGTGGTTAAAGTTACATATCATTCTTCTTTTCAAGTTATCATTTACATTTTTGTTTTGTTCTTTTTTTCTTAAGGTATGCCACGTAGCACAAGTCTTGACGTTATACCATCAAAAGAAACAGATTTTTCTAAAGCTGCAGATTTCAAATCTATAGATTCCTTTGGACGAAGTAGTTTAGGTGATATATTCTCTCCCGTTCGTGAAGGTAATGTTTATTGTGTTTATAGGTTATGGTATGATTTATCATAAAATCTTGTAAAATATGCCTGAAGCTTGTTTTGCAATATAACATCTAGGCATTGTGTTTTAATTGCTTTAGTTTTGGGCTTGAGGTTTAAATTATTGTATTTCGTGTGCATATATTTTATTAAAGTTTTTCTTTGTCATTTTTATTAAGGAATAACTTTATAATTGAACAAAAAGGAAGTTTTTGACTGCCCTCCATAACATGGGTTGATGTAAAAGAAAAGTGATAAAACCATTGTAATCATAGAGAAGTTCTTCCTGCTAAAAAAAATACGGTCACACCAAAATTCCTAATAATTAAAGAAAAGAGAATTCGGGGGGATTATACCAGCAGAGAGTTGATGAAGGACCAAAGACTAACAATGATTGTTCCATGGTGGCTAAATCTACAGTCATATCTAATTAAATTCATTTTTTGAGCAACGTGATCAAATTGACCTAATTTATAACCTCCACTGAAAGTGGGATTTCCACAAAGCAGCAGTATGTATTTGGGCAGCCATAGATGTTAAATTAATTTATGGCAAAGGTTATTGACTCCAGGATATTTGTCTTCTAGGAGAAAGGCCAGTGGGAGCTTAAGAAAAGCTTTATTAACCGTTTTTTGATTCCAGAGCAATTATTTTTTCACACACGTTAGAATCTTCATTGTTTGCTAGAAAATGACTTTAAACTCCCAAACTGTTTTATATTTTCTGAAAGCAGAGGCACTGTAAAATTTTACGGTGGCAGCGGCAATTTTGTGGTGCGATATTTGCGCAACTTTTTGATCTGTTGTGATCTGTTGTGATCTGTTGTATTGCGATATGTTTTTCAACAGAAGCTAACGGATGGGCACCGAAAAATTAATGGGGCTAGTTCACACCGCTCTATCACACTGTGCTATGTTGCATTGCACTGAAAAAAAACTTGATCATGCACTACATGTTTTTTCAGCGCAATGCATCGGATCACACAAATACTTTTTTCTGTGTCATTTTATTCACATCCGTTGAGAAAGGTATCGCAATGGTTTGGAAGGAAATCGGAGGGTACATTTGCAAGTCAACGGGCCCTCCAGTGATTTCCTTGCGATTTTTTTTTTTTTTTTTGTGTGTGAATGCACCCTAGAAGTCTTTACAAGTCAACAATTTAGTGTTAGCTGTGAATGATGGCCCTAGTGGAATCATTGTTCTCATGACAGCATTTGTTTGGCGATACCTAACGTGTGGCACCATCGTTTACATACACGGGCACGTGTTTGCATTCACGTGTGTGTGTGGCATTTTTTATTTATTTTTTAACACTTCATTTCTTTTCTGCTCTCGCTCACCTTCCCAGTCCCATAAAAGTGATCGGGCGGCTCTACAGCTGCATGGATTATTTTTACTGGCTAGCCGGGAGTTGGCTGAACATAACAGTAATAAGCTCAGGACTATTGCATAAGCTTACTTTAACCCCTTAAATTGCAGGACGTTTATAAACGACCTTTGGACACCAAGTGGTTTAAAATTGAAGATAGGGATTTGAGTTTAGAGATGAGACCGACACTGCCACCATATATGTATAATACAGCCAGTACTTGACCAACATTCTAAAATTAGAGAAGCAGAGTAAACAAATTTACTTTGTTTTCAGGAATCATGTATGTTAAAGACCATGTAATGTCTCTTTGAGTGCTAGTTGACAAACTACTTGCAAAGTGTGGTACAACAAAGTGCTACTTTGAAAGCATGACATGCACATTTTTTAAAATTTGAGTCAAGGAACTGCGCCAATGTATGTTGGATAAGTCAGTAGACCTCGCTAGGGTGGTGTGGTAATATTCTTTTTTAAAGGAGAACTATGAGGTGAGTGATTTTCACTCAACCTCATAGTTTGAGCTGGCGTTGCTTTGGGTCACGGGAGGACGCTAGTTTATGTCCTCCTGTGACCCTTAGGAGAGCTATGGGGAAAAACACTTACCCCATAGTTCTCCTTTTTAATGTTTTGAGATCAGGTATTCCTTAACTAGAATGTTACACACATTGCTTAGCCCTATTTTATGTCCACTATTAAAAATCTTTTTTGTAAGCTCAGTAAACTCTCTTGTTTATTAATATTTTAATTATAGATATATCACACTTGAAAGGCATGGATGAGCTCACTTCTAAAGGAAATGGTATGTGGTCTCCTTTTATTGATTTTACACATTACCAGTTTATTTGTTTTTATTTTCTCTTTATTGTTTGTTTATGATGAATGATCTTGCAAACAGTGTCCAAAAGATTATTTTGATGTTTGAATTGGGGTTTAATAAGGAGTTGCGCTAATATTGCGCAACATAAAAATTTTCAACTACCACCATTTTATTCTATAGGGTCTTGGCATTCAGAAAATATATAATGTTGGGGGGTTTTACTCAGTCATGAAGGGGTTAATATGGTTAATGTTATTGACAGTTGGATTTCTCATTGAAAATATTGGTAAAATAATAGTGGCAAAAAAATTGATGGCGAGTTTTCAAGTGAATCTGGTTGGCATATTGGCTTTATAAATGCAAATAAACTTCCTACAGACCCTTAGCCATTAATAATCAATGACGGTAATTTTGTAAACGTGTACGTAAGACTGTAAATGCTTTTAGCAAAAAGTAAGATATACTTTATTGTAACTGTTGTTGTCATATTACTTAATTTCAGTGTCTGATTTTGTGCGAAATTGGTTGTGGCATATTGCTATTAGTATTACTTTAGTTAGTTTTGAAAGTTTTTTTTTTATATTTACTGAGGCTGTTTTCATTATAGCTGACTTCAAGATGGTCTTTTGTTTTGAATTCAGATCTTGATTACTTGCCTCAGTTAAATTCAATGCCTGCCACAAGGCGTCATCCTGTTGGTGCCACTTCACAAGGAATGCATTCCTCTCCATTGCACTTCATTATTGGAAGCCCAATTAAAGAAGAAGATGAAACCCAAGATGTAGAGCTTAAAGCGAGAAGACCGTATATTAAAAAGCAAGATCTGAGAGAGAATATTAAACAGGTAACGCATAACCGCTCCATTTGATTGTTTTTGAGTGTGTCTTGGTAGATTTGATCTACTTTTCTGCACCTTATGACCTCAACATTACTGGTGGTACAGGAGATATTTGTCTCTTTGCTTTATTCTTGCACATCATCTTCCTAGAAAATATTATTGAACTGTGCATAGTACAGGCTTCTTGTATTCTTGCAACATATTTCATTTTTATCCCTGGTTGTCCACTTCCCAGTTTTAAACGACATTTTGTCCAGTGAAGTTTATCAGAAAATTATGGATAAGCGCTCTTTATTTAAACAACCCCCCCGCTTACTCTTGGTAATCAAGGTAAATACAATACTTAGCACTGCAGTAATCTCATTAGTCTTTATCTCTATCTATCTGGGCAACCTGCTATTATTCATTGTGGTCAGACCCTATATTCAGCTTGACGCATTATTGTAATGAGAGCAGGAGGGCATTGAGCAACTGAACATAGAGCATGCCTCTGGGTTACTGTGCAATATACACAGATACACAGATCAGCCATAACATTTTGACCACTGAGAGGTGAAGTGAATAACATTGATTATCTTGTTACAATGGTATCTGGAAGTGGGTGGGATATATTTGGCAGCAAGTAAACATTTAGTCCCCGAAGTTGATGTGCTAGAAGCAGAAAAAATGGGCAAGCATAAGGATTTGTGACTTTGACAGGGACCAAATTGTGATGGCTTGGTGAATGGGTCAGAGCAACTCAAACAATGCAGTTTGAGGTGTTGTCTTGGCCTCCCAAGTTCTCCCAATCTCAATCCAGTCGAGCATCTTGAAAAGGAAGTCCAGTCCATGGAGGCCCACCTCGCAACTTACATACAGTCTTTTGTCTACATGTTTTTGTTTTGTTGTCATTATTATTTGTATTTTATAAAAACATACAACAAAATTTCCATTTGAATTCCTTGAATGGCGCATTAAATATTTAACAGTTACGCAATAATTAAAACCTATATACACATTAATATTAAACCTATATAAAAGTCTGCATTTTCCTTTTTTGGTGGCCTATGATGAGTTGCACTGAATGATTGATAGGTTAAAATTGAGTCTATTTACTAAATTTGAGATTAGCATTAAAATACTTCACTACTACTCTGGTAAGCTACCCATTCTTAGGTGGATTTTATTCCAGAAGATCAGTTTAGCCCTAGGACTATTTATTGTTAGGAGCAATTACTTTCACTGCTGAGTTACCAGGCAGCTGGTTGTATCCACAATTCAACTTGTGCAGGGTGCCACTCTGTAGGTGGCTGGGATATAACTCTTTGTAACATATATGGTAGACAATAGATGTCTAGTGAGCACTTCAGATAATCATTTAAGGCACCTGTTCCCTCAGCCCTTTCTCCCTCCAGAATCTTTTAATTTTATTTATATAAATGTCTTTCCCTTCCTCCATGTCGAAATAGTACATACAAACCTGCACTCTTCTAATTGGGGGCAGTCAGTGACAAAGCATGAGAAAGCAATAAATGTATTTGAGTACTGCCTTGGCCTGTAGGAGATGAAACGCAGCTACTTCAAGTGAGGTTTTAGAAGAAACCATGGTGAGAACTTAATTGACAGGAGGAGAATTGGCAAGATATTTTCATTTTTACACTGGTGAGAAAGCCATCTTTTTTTTTTTTGTCAGGGTGCCACAGAAGTCAGACCTGGTCGAAGCCTATAAGCTAATACAGACACTTTCAGGGTTTTATAGAATAGAACTATATAAATTGCCTTTTTGATGATGCATTTTTTTTGTTTTCACTTTTTTAAAGCCTGCAAAATCATCAAGCACTGAGCAGATGAATTTAAATATGTCAACTGTGCATGTATCACGGACTCCAGAACCAATTGAAAGGACAGGAAATCATATTCCATCCCAAATAAACCAAGATGTTCCTCCTTATATTACAAAAGCAGCAAGTATGTAAAACATGTCTCTCCTTTATTTCCTGAAAAATGTAATTTTGCTTTGTTTCTTAACCACTAGCCGACTGCGGTGTTTACACCCCCTTCCTTGCCAGGCCATTTTTCAGCATTCAGCGCTGCGGTACGTTTCATTTCGTCATGCAACGCTGTACTGAAATTAATTTGATACCATTTTTTGGGGACAGATAGAGCTTTCTTATTGTGGTCTGTTAAGACCCCTAATATTTCCCTGAAGCCCCCAACAATAAGTTAAAATTAAATATTAAAAAATGTTTAAAACATTTTTAAAAAGGTTGGGAACATTTTTTGGTTTAGTCCTGACAAAGTGTTTAGTTTCGGTCTAAAAATTTTAAATCTTGATGCATCCCTAATTTAAATGCAATACCTTTACCGTATTTATTAGGGATGCACCGATACCACTTTTTTAAGGCCGAGTACCGATACTTTTTTCCAAGTACTCGCCGATACCAATTACCGATACTTTTTCTTAAAGGGACAGGTCACATTTTTTCTAAAGCAATACAAAATCATGATTTTTAGGTCAGTTTCTTAATATTATGAAGAACATGAACACTCTGTAGTGTGGCACAGCTATATCCAATTCTGCATACCTGGCTTTATATTATAAGAACTTTATAATATAAAGACAGGTATGCAGAATTGGTTACAGCTGTTCCACACTATACAATAATACACTGTTCTGGAGTCTGGACATGTGCTCATCTATTTTCCCCACTAGGGGGATACAAGCCTTAGTTAGCAATGGCATGATAAATATT